GGGGTCGACGATTTCGTTGGGGTACAAGCGATGGAATTCCTTCGAGTGCCTGGGGATGTCGTCTTCGACGTGCCAGTGGTCGCTGTTCTCGCCCAGGATGTCCCTGAGGGCCGACTCTGTAAGGTTCAGGATGCGTCTGACCGGGAGGTATGATTCGTAGTAGGTTCCAGAGAACTCGTCACGAATCTGCTCGATGATGGTTTGGCGAAGTGAAGGCCAGAGGGAGGCGAAGGTGACCTGTGATGGGATTGTTAGTCAAAACATCGAATGGTTCCAAGGCTGCAGCTTACAATTGCGTCGCTCTCATTCGTGGCCCATCGCTCCTTCACCTGGGCGTACCACATGCTCTTACCCGCGTCGTCCTCGCGTGGGTAGATCTTGCCGTTATTGTACATGTCGTCGACCTTATGCTTAGTCGCATCCATGGCATCCTGGTCGCCTTTCTCCATGGCCGCAATCAACTCTCTCATGCCGTGTCCAGCCGAGTCCCCCGCCACAGCCTCCAGCGGCGGTCCGTCGGTCGGCAGCGAGGGAAAGGCTGCTGGCCTCTCACTGGGGTAGATGGAGACAGGTGCTGAGGCAGTGGCAGAAGTAGAAGCACGAGCTACTTTGACAGGGCGCCCGGCAGATTTACGTACAGTTGGAGTGTCGTCATGATCTTTCTCTAGCTGTCCGTTCCCGCGAAGGCGCTTCAAGCTCTTGACGTTCTTGATGTTGGCCATGTTGCGACGACCCGGCGGAGCTGAAGGGCTGTCTGCGTTGAGCGCAGGGCGAGGTGCCGGTGCAGGGGATGTTACGGGCTGTGAGGTGAAAGGCGAGTGGCTTGGCGTCCGTTCTTGAAGTGAGCGAAGATTATCAGCGGTGGCGAGATTGTCGTCGGCGGAGTCTGTGGGCATGCTCGGCGCGATGGTTGTGTTGTGGGTCATCGGATTTGGTACGCCGTTCCTCTCATCATCGTCGAAGCCTTGGTACCTAGCCGGGCGCCTCAATATGTTCCCGGGCCGCAATGAATAAGACATATTCGACGGTTTCAATACGTTGAAGTATGCTACGCTAGCAATACTTTCCAATGGGTAGTGTGTGCGACGGAGTAGTGGAAGTCGATATATTTGGTTCGAAGAGAAAACGATACATAGTACCACGTACGAGGAAGGCCAGGTCCCGCATGGTGACTGCCCAAGGAATCTATCGTGCAATGAAGCCTTCGGAATCCAGGGTGAAGGTCAGCGACGACCTCTACAACGGTTGCGACTACCATGGGCGAGCGAGCGGTACACGATCAGGTGACAAAGCAGCCATAGTCACCGTGCGGACGGACTTGCTCGTCGATGAAAATATATAAGATGCTGAAAACGAAATTGTGATAGGTAGCCTACCGCCTGAAGGGCTTCGCTGGTTTTCTCGCCTCGCCGCCGTTCCGCTACCATGTTAGGTCGTGACTCAGGCCAAAGTGCAAAACGCTTCCCATGCCCAGGCTCCAGAATGCAGGAGTTTCGCCAAGAACACCGTGAGCGATGCGGGGTATAATGCTATAGATAAACGCCTGAAGGAAATGGTGGTACGTAGTCGAATCTTGGAGATTACACGCGGCGGTCAAGAAAGGGCGCGATGTCACGGCCTGCAAAGCGAAGCGCATCCGACTCATACACGCCGTCATCCATGTCCATGTCCCCGTCGTCGCGCGTAAGTTCGATGCGACGCTTTGACTTCGTTGTGGTTGGCGTGTTCGCGCCGTTGTGCTGGGGTATTTGCGCGGCGGAAGTTGCGACAGAGCGCCGTGCGCCCAGGATGTCCCAGTACGAGCGCAGCATGTTCTTCAGCGTGTCGTCGAAGTTGACGCAGAAGCGCTGCGCCTGGCAGACCTGCATGGCCTGCACGTGGTCGATGTTGCTGAGCGTCTCCATGAGGTAGGCGGCGGCCACTGCAGCCGACTTCTCGTTCCCCGACTCGCAGAAGATTAAGACCTTGCCGAGCGCGGGTTGACCCGTCTGCTCCAGCGCGCGTTGGCGGACTCGCGCGATGTGGAGGTTGATTATCCGCGCCGTCTCTCCAAACTGGGGTGTCAGCCGGTCGAAGCTGGCGGCTTCGACCGTGGCCACCTCCATGCACACCTCACCAGCCGCCTGCACTGCACCCATCATGCTGTTGGCCTGCGCGCGGATGGCCAGGACCATGGTGATGCCCTCACGCTGCAGGAACGCCTTGTCCTTGGCGGCCACCATCGGACCGAGGTACAGCCAGGGCAGGATCATCTGTGCCTGCCTCCGCCGCTCGTAGGCCCAGTCCATCAGCGTGTTGCGCTGCACGATGCCTTCGAGATCCATGTCCTTCAGGAAGCCCATGTCCACCTCCTCGCCGGAGCCGCCACCAATGACGAGGCCGGGCATGTCCGTCGCCAGCGTCGGCGGGGGAACGTTGATGCGCGGGGGCGTGGGCAGGCGCCAGGTGTACTCATTGTGGTTACGCATGTGACCATTGGCGAGGTCGGACATGGCCGTCTCTTCGCGGAATGTCGTCATGCTTTGGCGTGTGGACGTTGCTGGTTGCCCGGAGGGCCGAGGCTCGGTGGGGTTTGACTCTTGGGCGGTTGATCTGGAAGGCCGGTGACGCAAGGGCGCGGGTTTGCAGTGACTATGACAGTCGATTCAGGACGTGTGTCTGACGCAGGAGAAGTGGAGACGGATTCCGCATGGCGAAGATGACATGGCATGGCGACGGCAGCCCACCGAGCGGAGCGCCTCCAACCACGGGAGTGCTAGCCAGAATAAGATGGCATTGCTGACGTAATGGGCTCTGTCCTGTCACTCCAGCTGTAACGCTCCTTGGCCGCTGTATTTGCTGCTTCTCGCCATCACATGAAGACGTACATGTCGTATCCCGCTGCGCTGCCGGTATATCGTACTATCTTCGCACGACGATCCCGGGCCGCCTCGGGCAACAACAGCCTCGAGAATCCCGGTGCTTTACTCTCTATGGAAGAACGTCTTCTCAACGCACTGGATGACGCTATACCATTACGCGGCGGTTGAATGAGTATTTCTTATGTCGGGATGCAGCCAATCGGCGAATTGACTTGACAGCTGCACACCTTCTATTTCCGTCTATACCTGCCTAGTCTCGTTTCACATCCTCCTCCAACATCCAAATCTCACCCATTCTCGCAATGCCGGTTCGCACCGCACTCCCCACTGACGAGCCAGCGATGGTCGGAGTGCTTACCAAAGCCTTCTTCCATGAAGACCTCTTCGGCATCACAATCCATCCCCATCGCAACCAGTACCCCGAAGACGTGCGCATATTCTGGCACGAAAAACTGCGCAAACACTGGAGTACGCCCACCGATCGGCTCATCGTCGCAACGACGACAGAGGGTGGGGAGGAAAAAATCACAGGTGTCGCTGTATGGGAACGGCAGGGTGACGATGAGGGTGCGAGGAAGGTGAAGAATGAATGGATTGATATCGGTAAGTACCCACTTTCCACACCAGTACAACCTACCGCAGTCTATCACATACGAGCGAACATAACAAGGGTCGGGCACTCCATCTTTAACCAACGATAGTAGTGTCTAGAGGGACTGTCTGCCTTTTCTTTCAGAGCATTTAGCTGTGCTTACCCCAGTTGTGGTCGCTCGTAGGTGGTGATGACCTGCGGTATATTATCTTTAGCAAGTCTAGCACACTCATGACACTCATCAGGTCCAAACGCCTTCCCACCCCTCCCTACAACCCACAACCGCGCTCTAGATCCCACAAAAGCAACCATCCTTGAAGACGCCTTCCCCCACTTTGCATCCCTCTGGGCCGGCCCCCGCGCAAGCAACTGGTACCTCTCCCTCTGTGGCGTGCACCCGTCGTACCAAAAGCGCGGCTTCGGGCCGCCGCTTGTGCACTGGGGGTTAGAGAGAGCGAGAAAGGAAGGCGTGCATGCGAGTGTTGCGGCGAGTGACGGGAATGGTAAGTTTTATCTGCGGTGTGGGTTTGACGAGGTGGTGGGGAATGTGACGACGGGGGAGGGGAATCCGCTGAGCGGGGTGGCCGGGGGGGATGTGCTGTTTATGTTTCCTGGAGGGAAGGAGGGGGAGGGAAAAATTCTCCGTAGGTTCAATATCATTTCTGCAAAAGGCTATTGTGGAAGTTGATGCATGCCGGGAGTGAAGGCAAAATATATCTGAGACATAGGATTGTGCTCTTGCGATAGGTTCTTTGCTCAACTCATACATGTACGAGAAAAGAGCTGTTCTTAGCCTGAGTACTGTCTCTGAGGTATATTTTCGGTTTCGGTTGCCAGACGCTGTGTCGTGTGATTGGGTACCCGATCGACATGGTTCTGGATAGTGGGGTCTGGCACATACAAGCGAACCATATCGGAGGTCTACAAAAGACCAGACATGGACAAATTCAGATCATTCGCGATGATGTAGCTGATAAACTCTTCCTCGGTAACTCGGTCGTGGCATTCCTTCGGTAACCAGGTAAAACCAGTAGTCTCGAAGACACAGCCTCGATCTCGCGCTTCAGCGGCCGTGGTACCGCACTGGTCGTACTTTGGGTGGGAAGCGACATTCTTCTGTTGGGCGACCGTGAAATAGATGACTGGTACGATGATCACGATGATGTAGAGGATGATGATTGCTGGTCGGAGGAAGCGTGACTGGGTGGGATGGTGGATGAGTGATTTTGTGTCTTCTGAGTCGACATCGGAGTAATCTTTGAACTTTTCTTCTTCACAGAGTGTGGATTGATTGGGCAGAGGAATGTGAGAGATCCATGGCTTTGGGATGCGTAATAGCGAGTTCGATTTTGAACAGTTGGGGCCAATTCTCCACAGATTCTTGGGTTGTCGTTCACGGAGGAAAGTGTGGAAGACAACTGCAGTGACAGGTCTGGGGCGTACGGACTCCTCGAAATTGAGGATAGGATTGTAGCGGAAGTTGGTCAATCATGGGGAACGTCATTTAAGTGTTCTCATTCGTCGACTAGCTAAAAAGCAAAAAAATAGGGTCCTGCCGCGACTCGAACGCGGGACCTCTCGCAAGAAAGCTTAGTGTTTACCCTAAGCGAGCTGATAATGTTGTTAGTTCAATTCATGGTGGAAGGTGTTTTAGGATGCGCTTACAATCATACCGCTAGACCACAGGACCACGTGACTTTGATGTAAGATGTTAGTTTTAGACTTAATATATACTTGATTTAGTAGCAGGCTGAGATATGTGAAGCGGGGCAGTGAGTATCTGCGGAAGACGGTCCACCTTTAGCGAGAACACCAGAACGCTAAACTTGCAAACCAATCAAGACCCAGTACAGTTAGCCTAGCTGTACAGTGCAATCTGGACGCATACCATATTAGTCGGATCAAAGCTTCCTTCTGAATACCACTGGCACATTGTATGGGACAAAATTATTTCACATCCTATGTTTCGATACAGGAAACCACGAGATCCTCACAACCAACCAAAAAATATGCCACCGACTGGAGCCGAAGTCAAGACTCGCCCCGCCGTCTTCCCAAACGACCGCGAGGTAGTCGGCCAGTTGTTCCTCGCATACGCACAATCCCTACCTATCAGTCTCGACTTTCAAAACTTCGAACATGAATTAGCAGGACTGCCTGGAAAGTATGCGGTCGACAATGGCGGCGCGGTTTGGCTGGCATACAGAGCACAAGCAACACAACCTTCAACAGCAAATTTGAATTTGCCTCGCGGAACCACTTCCGAGCTCGTTGGTACAAAAGAGAAGGATGAGCAATCCATAGGATGCATAGCCATTCGACCCTTCTCCGCCAACTCTACCACCTTGCTCGAAAGCTCCACATCGAAAGTTACACCTACCACAAAGTGCGAGCTTAAACGTCTATACCTCACTCCAGATGCACGCGGGCGTGGCGTGTCAAAGTTGCTGATGGACGTCGCGTTGCAAAAAGCGAGGGAGCTGGGCTACAAGGAGATGTTGCTGGACACGTTGAGCAGTATGACGGCTGCGAGGACACTGTATACGAGGTATGGATTCGAGGAGATTGGGAGTTACTATGAAAGTGTGGAAAACGCTGTGTTTTATCGGCTCGTATTATGAGTGTGAGAAAATGTGCGTACGTTCTGGGAGTCTACAATATGGGTAGTATAGGGCTATTATAGGCTTGATCAAGCAAATTATCCCGGATTGGGGAAGCGACCAAAGGCGCTGACAATCCCTTTGTTGTGTTGATGCTTGGCAAATCGTGAAGAGTTCAGGGCGTGATCGCGCGTCCAAACGTCGTTGAATTCTCGCTTAGCGCGTTGCTCTTCCACTCCCACGCGATTAGATTCCTACATGGCCACCTACCCCTGGCGCTAGCATCGATACTACATGTCTCCTATCCTTGCTTCGCGTCAAACTCCTCTACACGCGACATAACCTCTTCTTACGCCACGAGCGAAAACTCCGAATCGCAGTCCACACCCGCGTCGTCGCCACCCCCAGCCGAGATGAGTACAGAAAGTGCGTCAAAGTCGATGCAAGACGAAGAGGAGCGCATGAGAGCGCAGCGCGAGAAGAATGACGCGAAACGCGACGCGAAACTGGAGAAGGACAGGCAGGAGGATCTCAAGAGTGGCAAGGCCGTTTTGGACAAGAAATTTCAGCAACTGGAGTTCTTGATGAACAAGAGCAAGGTGGGTACTTCCTCTGCTTGAAGGCACGCAATAAGGATCGAGAAAAATACGGTTGGGGTATAGTAGGAATGTACGCTAACGTTCATGCTGTAGCTGTACGCGTCGGTCATGCTCGCGCAAATGCAACGGCAAGAAGACGAAGAGAAAGCACAAGACGAGAAAACAAAAGGCCAGGCCTCGAAGCGCGAAAAGAACGCGGAGAAAGCGGCAGCTCAGTCACAACGAAGAGCTACGCGCGGCTCAGCAGCGAACGGCGCATCGACACCCAGGAAGGAAGAAGAGGACGCGGCGCCCAAGAAGACGGGTCGCGGAAGGCCAAAGAAGCAAGACACGAAAATATCGAGCTATTTCAAGAAAGAGGATATCGAGAAGAAGGCAGATCAGAAGGACGTCGCAGAAGCGCTGAAAGAGGCGGCAGATACGGACAAGGATAACGTGAAGATAGGCGAGGTTGGAATGACGGATCTCAAGTCAGCGCGACAGCCGAAGCTCGTCACCGGAGGCACAATGCGATCATACCAGTTGGAAGGGCTCGAGTGGATGCTCTCACTGTACGAGAACGGCATCAACGGCATTCTCGCAGACGAGATGGGTCTGGGCAAGACCATACAAACAATCGCCATGCTCGCGCATCTGTGGGAGAACAAGTCATATGGTCCCTTTCTGATCGCCGCACCGCTCAGCACGACGAGCAACTGGGTCGCAGAGTTCGAGAAATGGACACCGAGCTTGCCGGTCATGCTGTACCATGGCGACAAGAAGGAGCGCGAGAGACTGCGCAATACGAGGCTTAGGAATCCAGGCACAGCCCAATTTCCCATCATGGTGACCAGCTACGAGATCTGCATGAACGACAGGAAGTACCTTACGAGCTTCGGCTGGCAATTCATCATCATTGACGAGGGTCATCGCATCAAGAATCTTGATTGTCGACTCATCCGCGAGCTGCAGCAATTCCAGTCGGCGAATCGTCTCCTCATTACTGGTACACCGCTACAAAACAACCTTACGGAGCTATGGTCGTTGCTACATTTTCTTCTGCCAACGGTTTTCGATAAGCTTTCAACATTCGAGAGCTGGTTCGACTTCTCTGGGCTGAAAGACAAGTCAAGCTACGAGCAACTGCTGTCGGAAGAGCGACAACAGTATTTGGTAAAGTCACTTCACGCTGTACTGAAGCCATTCCTACTGCGAAGAGTCAAGACGGACGTCGAGAGCTTGATGCCCAAGAAGCGCGAGTACGTGTTATACGCTCCTCTCACTTCCATGCAGCGCGAACTGTACCAAGCCATTCTCGATGGTACAAGCCGGTCATATCTTGAAGAGAAGGCGGTTGAGAGATTGAGCATCGGTCTCAGTAGCCGAGCGGGGACACCGTTGAGCACTCGCAGTAACAACGGCAAACTCAAGCGCAAGGCTTTGATCGGTACTAATACACCCAATAAGAGCGCAAAGACGTCTCGTGCAAGCACACCGGCCTCTATCGCATCAACTAAGAGCCGAAGTCGAGCAAAGAGGAACTACGAAGAAGTCAGTGACTCGGAGTACTTCGCCGGGCTGGACAAGCCAGAGTCCGAATCGGAAGGCGAAGAAGAATTGAGCTCCGACGCCGAGGAAGTACGCATCCGCGCCGCAACCTTCGAGATCGCGAAACGCCAGCTCATGCAGAAGAAGCTCGGTAATCCAATTATGCAGCTGCGTCTCTGTTGCAACTCGCCGTACAACTTCTTCAACCCGTTCCTCAAGGCTGACACAGATGGCGCCGAAACTTTTGCTTCGGAAACAGAGCCTGACGAGACACTCGTGTCAACATCGGGCAAGATGCTCTTACTCGACTCGCTGCTACCTGAATTGATACGGCGCGGCCACAAGGTTCTCATTTTCTCCCAATTCACAACAACGCTTGACCTGCTCGGTCAATACCTAGACCTCCGATCATGGAACTATGCACGTATCGACGGCTCAGTCGCGCAATCAGATCGCCAGGCCCAGATCCTGAATTTCAACAAACCCTCCTCCACCGAGGAAGCGACAGATATCTTCATCTTGTCCACCAGAGCAGGTGGCCAGGGTATCAATCTCGCCGCAGCCGATACAGTTATTCTGTTTGACAGTGACTGGAATCCTCAGCAGGACTTGCAGGCTATGGATCGTGCACATCGCATAGGCCAAACGAGAAATGTCATCGTGTACCGTTTCGCTACGCGTAATACTGTTGAGCAAAAGTTGCTCGAAAGCGCTGAGGCGAAACGTCGGCTTGAAAAGCTAGTCATCCGCAAAGGCGGTGTAAGGAATGATCGAGGGAAAGCTAGGGGCACGGAGAATGAGCAGGAGGTTGAGGAGCTGCAGAAACTGCTGCGGCGGAGTGATGGTGAGAAGTTTGAAATCGAAGGTACGGAGGTAGGTAATATACTTGGTAAAGAGGAAATGGAGGTCTTGCTGGATAGGAGCGACGACGCGTACGCAAGAGCAGAGAAAGGTCTGGATATCGGTGGTGAAGGAGCAGTATTCCAAGCTGTGGTTAAAAGGGAGGAAGGGGCATTGATGGAAGGGTTGAAGGCATGAAGAGTTACTACGAATTGATTGCGTGGCGAATGCAATTACGGTACTTCAACCTGTAGGCCTCCAGAGCACTGTCAACTACTCACCAGGACCCGATGAATCAGCCTCCATCATGACAACACCGATCTGTTACGCGCGCGCCAAAAAGGACAAAGATCCATGGAAACTCAACTGAACCCCATGCAAACCTTGAGAGACTTGACAAATTGTTGTTCTTGACTTTCTGCCAAGATTTGAGTAGCGCTGTGGTCGTTCTGGGTCTTCCCCGCTTCTTGCGACGTACATATTTTCACGACATCGCATCCTTGTATCCTCGCACCCTCACATTCTTCACTGCTTCCTGTGTGAAGCTTGATGTGAAGCTTGCACATGTTGGAGCATGTTTAGAGCTGGTGTGTTGGAGACTTATGGAAGGTGGATGGGACGTATGATGACAAAAGGTAGTTGGGGTTCCTTACGGTGTCATAAACGTCGAGCGACACTAACAGGTTTCTTCACGGTAAGATTGCTAGCGATAGTATACAGGTAACATCCATGATGTCTTCATAAGTCATTCTCATCCAACTCGTCATCTATTCAAACTTCAACCATACACCGGCATCCTAGTATACCCCGGGAACTTCTGGAGCTGTTTCTGATCAATGGCCTTCAACTGCGGGCAGCTTAAGCCCCCGATCACATTATTGATAGCACCCGTAAGCGCACCGAGTGCGCCGAGAGCAATGTCCGGCTTGGCCTGTGCAGCCAGCTGGAAGACGAAGCAGGCAAGGTTGTTGCCTTGCAACAGAGTCCCTACATTGAAGACGCCGCCGGTCAGGTTCCCGATATCGACGCTAGTGAAAGAGCCGGCGGTGCCCGTGTTGCTGAACAAAGAAGTCAGTTCCCGATGATGTGCAAGGAAATGATGGGAGGATTAGGCAAGAGAAGTG